AATCTATAACAGTACGTTCATAGTTTAACAGGTAATACAGACGTGCTTAGAATTAGTAATCATAATAACAGACACACAAAGCAGCAGGCCAATATTCTCGCGATTTTTTTTCGCAAGTAATAATAATAATATTTAATTTCCTTTGTTTTTTAACATACGTAGTCTATATCTTATATGCGGCTGATGCAAACTCTTTTTCTTATCTTTTGTTCGTCGGGTCCACCATATTTTCATGTAATTATTTAAGATACCCCATGTCTCAGAATAGGGGGTGGGAGGTCACTGGCATTTGTCCCCGGTTACGCTGCATGTGCGGATTGTGACATACTCGACTATCAGGCACACAAAGTCTGGACATACACAATGGCTGAGCTGTTCAGGCTGTGTAAAAAATAAATCTGAAAACTATTTGATAAATTACAAATGATTACCCAGGGTGAGGCTGTTTAATAATATTATTATTATTAATTATTATATATGAAATGTGTTGCCAGTTTGAAAATACCTCTCAATTTTATATACTGGCAACAACAATGTTCAACAGTTTCCAGTAATCTGTAAAAGTCAAGGGGTATGACAGCGCAAAGGTAAGTTTATTGGAAATGTGCTTGCGTCTACGTGCGCGAATGTGTGTGTACATGTATGTGATGGTACAAGAGTGGCGGAGAGAGAGAGAGAGAGAGAGAGAGAGAGAGAGGGGCATGCACCTTAAGTCTGTCTCTTTAGTTTTACCAATGAATTGTACACTGACATGGGAAATTGGACGGTTTTCTGGAGGTCAGAGTTAAATCTCGAAATTGATACTATTATGATGATACGTAGTTATACCTGAATACAGATCACCGTATAGCTTCAAAATGATGATAAATAAGCCGAATGCATCAATGAAAGATGCCCTTCATTGCTCCAAATGCGTACTGCTTACACACCCGGGGCTGTTGGTTATTGTAGCTTCTTATCTTTCAGTTGATCGGGTGCATGCTTTCAGTCACGTGCAGCCATATATCAACATGTTGTGTTTTGGTTCTATCCAGATCTAATATGTGCAGCACAGTTGAGGGTTAGAGAGTATATCTTGATAAGACCGGTTTGGAAATTAGTTCCTGATAGTTAAACATCTGGAGAACATAATAAACGGTAAAATACTATTTTGCTATTATAACATGTGAGACACATGTATCCGACGTGTGGAAAAAGTAATTGTATTTGTCTCGTTTTCGATTTACAAGTTTTTTTCTAGAAGGAGAAAGCTTATAAGGGGATAATTCCGAAGCTGGGGGTGGGGGTGGGGGTGCTTTGCCCTTCCCCCCCTCACTCCTTCTGGATAGGCTTATTACTTTGAGCAAGTGAAACTTTTTTTAATCGGTGCGAAACTCTCGAAATTGAATTTATCATTAAATACGTAATGAACATAAATGATGCATCAATCCAATGTGCAGCATTGCTTCAAAAAGTGTAAAATACGCAAAATATACACATCACTTTTTCATGAAAATCCAAGATGCCCCTTGCTGTTTGAATTGCGTACTGGTTACGCGCCTGTAGTCGTCGGTTATTGTAGTTGCTTATCTGAAACTCGATCGAGTGCATGCTTTCAGTCACGTGCAGTCAGATATCAACGTTCTAAGTTTAGATTCTGTCGTGATCTAATATGCACAGTTGGGGGTTAGAGAGTATATCAAGATAAGACAGTCTGGCCATCGTCTGGAGAGCATACTCCGTACAAAAGCCTCGTTCCTGTGTAGGGACCCAGAGAAACTTTGTTGAAATTTATATGGAAAAAAGATCGATTACAACTTCACAGGCATTTTAAAAGTTTAATTTTAAAAGCCCTGGAGGACCATGTGAAATTATGTCCTCTTCTTAATGTACAGGTGTGCCACTGCTCTGATTCTTCATTTGAAAAAAAAAAAAAAAACATTTGGCATAAAAACGTTTTAAACTTGAATCCACTCCTAGAGCGCTGTATTCAAAGTAATTTTGATTTATTTATTCATTATTTATTTTTAAAGCCGTTATTCTCACAGTTAGATAGGAGACCTTCATTCAGCTGAAACTGTAATCACGTACTTCTTTCCCTCTCGAGTAACTATCCTGAACTCACCTTATCATTTCCAACGAACTATACCTTTGAAACACGTGTATTTCATAATTAAACGTAAGCATGTTTTTTCCCTTAAATCTGTAACTGACTGCACGAAATGCTACGGCCCGTTGAATATGTCACAAGTGGATTCAGTGCTATGCGTTATGCGATTGTAAACTTTTTTTATAAAAAGAATTATGGTCGAAGTCTTTATTTTTTTTAGGTCCTGACACCGTTATTTGTGATCCTCTACTTCTGATGCTGATATCAACCAATTTGTAGTAGATATTTGTGTTCAGTCCATAAAAATTAATATTAGAAGATGAACTAAGAGGGGCGCACTTATCAAAAATGAGTTGTTTTTAGTGGCCGATTTAGTGGTCCTGACCCCACCCTCCTTCGGTTTCTGGAAAAAATCACACTAAAATTTCCTTCTTGAAATTAGAATTTTGACTAGCTGGATCTACTCCTGTTTTATTAATAAGGTGCCGTTTCTATTTGGATTTTCAAAACGCACCTAAAATTGTTTGGGAGACTACAAATCAAGTTCGTCATTTTTAGGGTGAATTTTTTTCCGTTTTATTTAAAGTACGAATTTAAAATCCGTTAAAAAGCATGCAGACATTTTGCCTATATTTCATTTCGAAGTTTATGTACATTATCTCAAAACTTTTCTGAAACTCAGTCGCTCTTGCGTCGAGTCACGCGCTGAATAGTTGTTGCATGGCGCGGTTAATTATGTGTGAGATATACACCATGAGCGATGTATACAGGAACACCTCGAGCGTCAGCGCCAGTGCGTTAGATGTGCAACAGTGGACAGATAAAGTAAAAACGGAAAACAATGCGAAATGTAAAATGTGGAGAAGATAAAGCCCAGAAGATATGCACCTTGAAAATGGCTAGTGTGGTCCGATCTACCGGTGAATTCAAGATCAGGCGGTGCCGAGGCTGGTAGTTGGGTAGGCCTGAAGCCAATCTCTCTGTGTTCGGCTTGTCGAGCTAAGAAAACTCTGTTGAATATAACCAATGAGATGAAGGTCGTTTATCCAAATCGACAGTGCTACAAATTCCAATTTAATTAACTGTTCACGAATTCTTTTGGTATGTGTGTGTTAAAAATCGCTTCATTCTGGGATTTTCTTGGAATATAAACATACTAGTATACCTAAAGTTATACATTTCAAACCTTTGTTATTGACACCAAGGATGCTATGATTTCACTTCCTTTTGTCTGTTCATTGGTCTGTTACCAGCCTTACTCAAAGGGTTATGGAGATTTTGATGAAATTTGCTGTATGGGTCAGTAATGGACTAACCTAAATGTGATCATAGAATTTGTAATTCGCGATCCGGATCCTCATCTAGATCCAAGAATGCTTAAAGGAATCTGAACACAATAGATAGGGCCGATTATCTTGACCTTGTGCAATGGATGTCCACTCAACTACCACAATGTATCAGTGCATCGTCCTTGGCGGAGGTCTGCGCTCTCTGTGAGGGCTTCTCTAGTTTGTTCCAGTATGTTCATTGCCCCCCCCCCCCCCCCCCCCCCGGGAAGTACATTCGTAATCATTTTATTTACAAATATCATTGAACAGCGTTTATCCTTCAAATGAAATCTCTATTATTTATAAATGTATGTGTAGGTCCTTTAGCAAGTAAAAATAGCAATACAAAAAAAAGAAACAAGATTGCCAGTGTTAGTCAACTGGAACTAATTTTTTAAAGTAATGCTGTATTCTTAGAACCAGTCCATTACCTCTCTCCCGCCCGAACATTTAAATATACCTTTTTCGTTTGATCTCAATCTATTTTTAATAGCTCAAGTACCAAACATAGTAGTGATGTGAGGAAAACAGAGGAATAGCAAAACATCATGTGCGAAAAACCGTAACGTCCTTCATTTTACTCAAATATCCATTGTTTTTTCAGCAATCGTGAATCCTGTTATTTTGATATGAAAGCTTAAAAAGATGGCATGACCCTTCCATCTAACCGATGTTTTATCGCATTTTCGTTATTGTCATTGCTATTTCTATTGCAAATATTTAATACTTATAGGGCTAAGCACGTCGGATATGTAATTACCCAATTTAAACTGTGAATATTTTATAGAGACAAAATATTTTGGGCATTATTGCAGTCGCATTGTTCTCCAATTTTTTCCAGAGAAATTAACATTATATAGATGGGGTACCGCTCGAGATTGTTTTCAATTTTCTTTTTCATTTTTTCGCACTCGGTTTAAGATGCGTTTAAAGTCAAAATCTTGCCACAAAACCCGACCGAACGCCACCATAAAGTATCAAAAATTATAACCTAGAGTAAATCCGAAGAGCATCTTTTAATATTACACGAAAAATGAAGTATGAACGAACTTTTTCTGCATCCTCTCTGTGCTATAAAAATCCCTCAGCCGTCTCATTTGGAAAAGTATGCAATTGCGCGCGTAACTATACATATGAGTTACTGGCCATGGAAATCCGAACTTGCTTTATATGTATGTTTAATGTCCCTGACATGTATTGCCTTTCCAAAACATGTAATTCTTATATCGGAAGCCCTCTTAATGAGGCTAAAGGGAATTTAGATATCATTCCATGTCCCACATTTTTCAACAAGCCAAGCCGGCCAATTTTACTCAGTGAGGTGATAAATATGCCTATCAAGGGCGGATTTAGGTCGTCTTCTGGGTCTTCCGGAAGACGGTCAGATTTTCAAGTTTACATTGAAGGGAAGGCCTATCTAATTTTTTCTGTCGGAAGACGGTCAAAAATGGAAAATGGATAATCAAATATAATATGGAAGACTGTCAGGAAATATTTCTGGATCCGCCCCTGCCTATAGCAGATATATAATGTGCTTTTAAACACGAATATATATATATAATAAATAAAACAACTTCATGACATATTAAATACACCAATAAGAGATTTTATTTTGCATCCTGATATCACAACTGATAAAATGTGAGAATGCATTTGTTAAGATATGACGTTAAAACACCTCGACATTGAGACGGGTAGTCTGTTGGATCCCTTCATCTCGCAGTGTTTTAAGTCGACCGTCACGCCATCTAGTAGTAGCGGTACCTCTGAAAATGTTGAAAGAAAAGACAAATATAGAGGCAGGATAGAAAGAAGGCGGTGATGTTGATCTGATATGTCTCTAAACAATGACTGTAAAAAAGTAAATCGTTTTTTAAAGATCAATCGCATTTGACTGAAGACAAAATAAAAAGAGTAAACGCAATGCTTTATGGATTAGAGGTTGTTAGTATTTACATTTAATAAATAAACGTTCATCATCTAGGTAGTTTCTTCAAAACTGAGGAGGTCAAAATGGTCGCTTTATGAAAAATTATGTTTCAATCCGTTACCTAAAATCCCTCCCGCGCCACAAATGCCCCTACCCCATATTTAGTAGTATGGCGCCTTTCCGTAGTAGCCACGGAAAGAAAATCTTCTATAATAGTCAGCAGCAGCAGCAGCGGCTCTTTCGGCAGCACGTGCAGCAGCTTCAGCAGCGGCGGCTCTAGCGTCAGCCTCGGCCTGAGCACGTGCTCTCTCTGCAGCACGTGCACGGGCGGCAGCAATTTCGCGCTGCCGGGAGATATTAACATTCAGTCTGGATGCAGCTTCGGCATCTCTCTGGGCATCAATTGCATTAGATTTGGCAACAAGGGAAGCCTTCTCGTCTTTGGCTGCGTGGTAGGCACCTGCTGCTTGTTGGGAAGCTCTAAGAGCTTCAGCGGCGGCCTCAGCAAGCTGAGCAGCTCTGGCGGTGGCGTCAGTTTTGGCGGCTTTGGCGGTCTCTGCGGCCGCGGCTGCACTACTGGAGAGATCGGCAGCTTCAGTAGCACGGGATGTAGCATCGTCGGCGGCTGCTTTAGCAGTGTTGTATTTCTCGGCAGCAGCTTCAGCAGCGGTGGCAGCCTCGTCAGCAGCACTGGCAGCGGCGGCAGCTCTTGCAACAGCATCGTCTTTGGCTTGATTGGAGGCTTGGGCAGCAGCTTCGGCACGATCAGCAGCAGCAGTGGCTGCGGCGGCGGCCTCAGCTTCCCTGTCAGACTGGGCTTTCTTGGCCTCGTATGTGGCAAAGGCAGCATTGGCAGCATCGGTAGCAGCAGCAGCCACACCAGACAGACGACCAGATTCAGCTTCCTGAGCATGGGCACGAGCGGCAGCATTTTCGGCAGCAGCCTGAGCAGCAGCAGCGGCACGTGCGTTGGCCTCAGCACGAGCCTGAGCCTCAGCTTGTGCACGAGCTCGGGCCTCAGCAGCAGCACGGGCTTCAGCCTCAGCTTGGGCACGAGCACGAGCCTCAGCTTCAGCTTGAGCACGGGCACGAGCCTCAGCAGCAGCCTGTTCTTGAGCGCGTCTTTCAGCTTCGGCTTGGGCACGAGCACGAGCTTCAGCCTCGGCTTGGGCGCGGGCACGGGCTTCAGCCTCGGCTTGGGCGCGGGCACGGGCTTCAGCCTCGGCTTGGGCGCGGGCACGGGCTTCAGCCTCAGCCTGAGCACGAGCACGGGCTTCAGCCTCTGCCTGGGCACGAGCACGGGCTTCAGCCTCAGCCTGGGCGCGAGCACGGGCTTCGGCCTCAGCTTGGGCGCGAGCACGGGCTTCAGCCTCAGCCTGCGCTTGAGCACGTCTTTCAGCTTCAGCCTGGGCACGGGCACGGGCCTCAGCCTCAGCCTGGGCTTGAGCGCGCCTTTCAGCCTCAGCTTGGGCTTGAGCACGTCTTGCAGCCTCAGCTTGGGCGCGGGCGCGGGCGTCAGCAGCAGCCTTGGCGCGGTCAGCAGCACCAGCATCAGACTCAATAGCCCCAGCAGGTGGTGGAGCACTGAAACGATATTGTGGATACATTTATAAACGTCATTACCCTGCGATATGGGCGTCGAGGAGGGGGTTGTGGGTCGGTCTCAACGGCACCTGCTGGAGGTGGAGCACTGGAATAGATTGAAACATATCAAGATGCATAAATATTGCAGTTACTTGAGGTTTTTGCATTGTATAGTCAAAACGACACTAAAGAAGTAGCTAATACATGTACATTAAGGGTTGTGCTGGATACTATTTTGGTCTCGTTCTGACTTGCAGATTTTTAAATAAAAAATTGCAACATTGTTCTGACAGACGTTTTTTTTTCTGCGTGATTCTGATGTGAAGTAAGAACTGACAGAAACTGATTGGTATCCAAAGCTTAACGATGTTTTTGTTAATCCGAGGATTGGAACATGCGCACTGTCCTGAGTAACCTACCTTCCGGTTCCGATTTTTATTTTTCGTGTCTAGAATAACTCTGCTTTAGTGCACGGACTGTGACAAAATCATTTAAAACAAGCGTTCGTTGAAAATGAAAGAAATTTTAACAAGATGAATTTAGTCGTTTAAAGATGAAAATAAAAACAAAATCAACAAGAATCGTTTTATGAAAAACATGTTATGGTATGAAATAGGTGTCTCAAATGCTGTCAAAGCGGTTTTAACAAAATATTTAACCTTCAAGATAAATGTTTCAATTATTTCGATGGAACCTGTAATGAAGAAGGAAGAAGGGGGGTTGGGTCGTTATTGCACAATATCAGACATTTCAACAAACAAAGCTTTCTTTCTTTCATGACTTAGAGAACAACACTTGTTGTTCTTAAACGGAAGAAAAAATCTCATTATGATCACTCAGCTTACAGATCACTTTTCTCATAGGCCTGAGATTTTCTTGCAGAAAGATAATCGCTTTAAAGCACGCATTTAGCATGTTAAAGTGATGAATATGTGTAATTCATTTTAAAATGATTTTTATGTGAGGAAGAAATTGGTAAGTATTTGATTCGCAATTCTTATGACAACCTTGTGCAGCTTGATATTGGGTTTAAGACCAACTTTAGTGGCATTTTAAAAAATAGATTCGCAGGTCAGACAGCAGATGGGAAAGATTGAGAATGACGTCCCTGAAGACAAATAGCCAGACGGGCAGTCAAATAAACCAGGGGGTAAACCGGGATGATAGGCAGTCAAACAGACTGCCTATCTGTACTAACGTTGAGAAAATCCATCTACACATCCATCCCTTCGAATGGAACAGATGCAGAATTTATGTTAAAATTAATGAAAGGAATTTAAACGGTTTATTGTCTCGAGTCACTACTTCGCCTTATTTGTGAATTCAGGTTTTTATATAAATGCGTTTTCCATATGATGATCACCAATGAAAAGACTTTATGTTACTAAGCTGGACCCTTATATATTTTAAGTAAGATTTCAAAGCATCATAATTCTGATCTTGCACCGAGGCTTATAATGACAAGAGACGGTAATGAATTATTATTATTATTGGCAATATTATTCAGTGTTGATCTTCGTAGATGTCCAGCACTAAGTGACGTCATAAACGCCTAAAACGAGACTGTCGGTACTGAATGACGTCATAACCGCCTTAAACAAGACTGTTGGCACTTAGTGACGTCAATCCAGGGGTAATTAATTGAAATAGCATGATTATGATTTAATTAAAGCAACATGATGCTAATTTACACATTCAGAACAACAAAGGATAATTTCTCTTCACGATGGAATGATCTCTGTAGCTAATTGCTTCACATACCGTGTCTGGATCGAGTTATAACTTGCAGTCCAATAATACCTAAACCTTTGTCTCTGCTGGGCAAAATAACTATTGTCGATCAAACTTAATCCAGCTATCAAAATTTCTAATAGGCATTTGATGAAGATTGAAAAATCTATGTTTTTGCATGGGAGAACACGGCGTTTTTAGCGTCCACGGTAAGAACGTTAAGCACGCGCATACACTTGTTAGGTATACTCACTTGTAGTCCCTAACCAAGGCAGATATTGCAGGGCTTAGACGTATCCCACTACCGTAATCTTGCGGACCTCTGTAGCCTCGAGGGTAGTAAACCAGGCGTTGTGCGCCAGTCTCATCCGGGTAGTAGAGAGTGCCCGGGATGGCAAGGGCCACGGCAAGGACGGCAACAAAGCACAGCGCGAGTTTCAACATTTTGGGTTTTACCGCACGGGTTCTTCCTATGCTGGAGCCTTATATACTACATGGGGTTGCGTGACGAGTGCTGTTAATATTAGGACGTAGGATTGCATGATATTAGAAAACATTAATCGTAGACTATCAAGAACACTGCTGCCTGTTTTTTTTTTTTTTTTTTTTTTTTTTTTTTTCAACTCTTTGGGGCTGTTGTTATCATTATAATGCACTTGGCGGGAAATGTGAATAAAACTGTTTAAATTTCTCAACCATTCAGTGAAATAGGTGTAATCTTGTAGCTTATATTTCTTATCTGAAGTTAGTCTTAAAATGTTGATGAATCATTTTTAGCCATAGCCACTTCATTTACTCGGAAAAGACAAGGTCTGTGTTCAGTTTCAACGGTGACTCATTTTTGTAAAATTGCATTTTAAGTCATGTAACTTCTTGCAGTTTTGTTTCAATTTAGGAATTACGAAGTGGTGGAAAGCCAGCATCAAATCCATTTAACTGATATGGTTGTATGAGTTCTTAAAGAACGGATTGCGCGATAGTGTACATTAAATTGGGGGAAATAATTGCAACTTCTCTCTGCAACCGCAATCCCGTCCTGTGATGGTGGGTGATCAGGCAACGCACCAAGAACTCACAGGTCGCAGGGCGTGACCGGACACCCAGAGAACAATTAAGAAAGAACGCCCGATGTTCTACAACATGAGCAGTTGAGTGAATTTAGAAATATTTTGTTTCATATCATCAAGTTTTGATTCAAAGAGCATTTAACACAAGGGGGGAGGGGTCTTTAGAATTTATCAGAGTTTTTTTTCAGAACACTTCGTTTATTTGGAAGTCCCTAATTAACTTCACTAAATTGGTGTGAAGATTGGTTGACTGAGAATAAACAGAGAGGTTTTCATAAAAAACTGAAGACGAAAAAAAAAATTAATAATGGGCTTTTTGAACAAAAGTGGCACTGATATAACTGGCAGGTGTACATTACTAAAATGACATTTATTATCTTTAAGGGCCATCTCATCTCATCTCATCGTTTAAACTCAAATTTAAACTGAATACTAGGTGATTCCGTGGCGGAAAAAATGTAATGCAATATTGAGCAGGTCGGGTATTTTAGAAAACATCAAAATTTTAACAGATATGTGGAAATCAGTAACTTCACTAAACCAACAATGCCGTTCATCATGTGCCTCTGGCAACACCAACTGATAAAGCCACTGACAAGTAATAATGAAACTACAAAATAAAGCGCATTTAACATACAAGTTTGCGTTTTGTCGAACCGTTTGGTGGCGTAACCGGTTGGTATACAGCCGTCTAACTGAAGGAGTAAGAAAGTATGAATGCCAGACATGAGAGCGTCATAGATTTTGTTAAAAATAAACCACATAAAAGTACCCTTATACCACTCGCTGAACTGATAGATACTTGTGTAAAACTATGAAAATCAAACAAATCCGTAAGCATCGATATGTCCTACTATATCAATCTAAAGGCTCTGTCACACTCTAGTGTATAAAGGTACGTATGAGTATCGTGCGTGAAATCGGTCAAACGCACAGCTTTGAGAGTATGAAATCATCGTGTTTTCAGCCTATGAAATTGTTTTCAAACATGCTCAAAACATTTTATCTCCCTCCGCGTATGCGATCGTACACCCTTGTTTGCCTGCGCACTCCAGGCGTATACGCCGTTTGTTTGGCGCTTTTCTGCGTATGGGGAATTTTTCTCATACGTTAGTGCTACGCACTAGGTGTGACAAGACCTTTCAAATGGCAGTGTGTATTATGTTCCTTGCGCCTTTTTTTTTAAATCAAGGAATCAGTGATTCAATTAACATATTCCTGTGTTCACCAAGGACATAAGATACAGGAATTTTTTTTCAACTTTCTCGGCGTCAATGCACTACTTTGACGTTTTAAGGACATTGCTCTGCCTCACATCTCCAAATAAAGAGATGGAAAATAAGGAGAAGACTGTGAAGGATATGAAAGCGAGTAAAGAAACTTTTCAAGAGAGTCGAACATGAACCTTTTAAAAGCAGCTATGGATACCTGGCAACAGAAGAATCATTTCAGAGATGGAATACTCACTTAAAGTTAGTGACGCCAGCGTATCTCCTCAGTGTAATCCCAGTGCCATAGCTGGATGGACCTTTGTAGCCATCAGGGTAGTAGACAAGGCGTGGGGAGCCGTCAGGGTGGGGGTAGTAATCCGTACCTGGAATGGCGCAAGCCACCGCAATTAGGGCCACAAGACACACAAGTTTCAACATCTTGGCAGGCTGAGTAACAAGCACTGCGTTGGTCAGCTCAGTTATATAGTGTCCACAACTCGCGTGACGATGGACAATGAATTGACATGTGGTCAGGGAACAACACTTGGTCCTGTCTTGGGCGCTCAGCGACCTCGATTGTCGTTTTTGCTTTTAGTCGATCTTTATACTCATACAGTATATCTGACCAACTGTTTTGGTAATCGCCTTAGTAAAAAGGCAGTGTAAAAATTATCCATTTACTGACAGTAACAAAGTCGACTATTGACCATTCTGTTAGTTCCTGTTAGGGTAGGAGACCACCGCCTTTCCGCTGCACTGAATCATGACAAAAAATGTCGCCCATTTTGCTTTCAACTGCAATATTCCAGTTGTTTCCATGAATCTATCGATTCCCTGCTTGCGTTTTAATTGTAAATCAGGTGAATTATACTAGTATATACATTTTTTATTTAGACACATCTTTTTCACCGAAGAAAAAGCAACATTTTTCAAATTAAAAAAATTACTGCAGTGAGTTCTAATAGTAGAAAAAAAAGCAAGGAACTGTACCATCTGCTTCTGCCGCAAACTCTTACATCGTCAATCAATAACGACCCCCTTATGAAACAACCTTTGATTTGCGTGCTCTCCACAAAACCCATTCATTACTAGACTCAAAAGAAAACAAGCAACGGTCATACTTGTTCGGACATCACAGCGATTTATCATATTGTATAATAAAAAAAGACGGGGTTACAAAACTCACATCTCTACCCTGTTTACCCTTAAGATTAGCTGTTGCAGTATATTAAATGAAATATGAACTTTGTCACGATAATCGCCTGACCAGCTGGGAGAAAGACAAAAGTAATAACCGACTCCGTTAAATCAAAACTACATGTATTGTCATCTCTGGACCATTAAATTGCCACCTCCAAGAAAATCTACGTTTGGAGTAACATGGACACTAATGACCGTTGCACATTTGTCAAATCACCAAGGCTTGGTAATTTTTAATCATGTGTCAGAAACACATCGGTGCAATGTACCTTTTTACAATTTTATTTTCTCAACCAACGCGTGAACATTTTGTAATTATGAAAAAGAACCTCATTGCTTTTCGAGTGTTATTTTTCGAAGCATGCCAACATCATCCCTTACGCATTTCACTACCCTCCCCCCACCCCACCCCCCAATGTCTTTACTACTGGTGACATTTTGTGTTATTTACAGGCGTTTTGGGCGCGTCATTTGGGGTGTAATGTGTATACGGTATGACCACCTCCTGATTTTACCATGTTCAGTCTTGGCATGGGGGGGGGGGGGGGGTCATAACAACGCCGTATAAAAAGCTAATTCCAATACTTTATCACCGAGACACATGTCCTCATAAAAGGTGGAACATACAATTTCATTGAACACTTACTTTCCGTAATTAGGAATGCAGGCGTGCATTTGGACAAAACCTCAAAAGGTTAATATGAAGACAATAGGACAGTCACTTTTTGTAAGCCAAATGCCCTTTGAATAATATATCCATATCTACTATGTATCGCAATGAGTTCGCTAAATTGCATTATGATTTGCAAGTGCATGTGTCATACCATTATTCGAAGCAGGTACCTAAATGCGCGCTCTCAATATCATCGGGGCTTGGTTAAATATCAAATAAATATATTGATACGGAATGCAATAATTCATTATTTTGTTTCATCATTCTTAGACAAATAATGTCGCCGATAAAGCAGTGTCATGACAGTGGGGCAAATATAATCGGGCAAGGTGGTGGTTTGTTTTTCTGTTTATGTCTTGTCACACGGATCATTATCATACTGAAGACAATGCCCCTGTCACGGAAACCTTGAATCCTCTTTGTTATCTATTTGTTGAAAAGCGGATCTTCTCGGATGAAAATATGGCAAATTGATAATGATGAACTTAACAGAGTAATGTTCACCGTCACTTCACTGCGCAAAAAAAAAAAAAAAAAAAAAAAAAAAAAATCCCAAATTTTCTGTCATCAGGCCTTGTAGATCGCTTACTCACACGCTACTAGTAGTTGCATTCTGAAATACGATCTCGAACTGTCTTTTTTTTCAGACGGCTTCCCCAGACAACAAAGCCATTGTTCGATTCCTACCTACATCTTTGTCTACAGACCATATTTAGATGTGTAATAGCTGCGAATGCACTGTTCATCGATGCCAGTCAAGTCGTGAACTTTCAGGTCCCGCCGCTGTCAAGTGGTTTGACAGGTCATAAACGGCTTGTGATCGACGAAGAAGACACAGCGAGGGATGTCTCGCGCGCGAAGGGCTAATGTAGGACGCTTGGGAAGGCACATATACGTGTAACAGCACAAAATGATGCTAAACAAGTCCCCTTTTGATGGATCAACATTTTATTAAATTGTACTTCTCGGTGTAGATGGGACTTGGTTACTCGCATATGTATGCCCAACAGGTGAAATGACATTCCTCAGTCTCGAAAATGATAGTACCTGACCTATGCCATTATAGTTGTCTAGAAGTTGGAGACAAATCAGGGATATAGTTCGTTAGGGAAAACTACTGGCATAGTTTAAATTTCCAATAGCATGGATTTTATCCAAGTCATTCTGTAACGAATAGGTGTGCTCCTCGTGCCGAAAGGCCGTTAACTCCCATCGGAGTTGCGAACCGCCCATGTCAGTAATCTTTATGACCTTAGGCGCTTGTTCGACTCACGTTTTGGTGTCACTTGTATTAGATTGCAGGTTTCTGGGACACAAATCAACGTTTGAGATTTTATATTTTCATGAGATAATTATGAGATTGAAGTGTGGCATGAGACTCGCTATTAACGAACATCAATGTCCTCACTTTAGACGTAGGCAATGATAAAGCAAAGAAAAAAAGCATTGTAATCATCATCAAAAAGATAAATAATATGCAGTGATATGAATCCTTGTTGATGATTGAAATATTTCTCTGCAAATGACATATAGATAATCATTTAACGGCGTCAAAGCCGTAATTTTCCCGCGAAATTGAGTTTTCTCCTATTTACCTGCGAATCATTGCTCAACCAGTCCCTCCAGTTGGGATCGGATGCTTTTTACCATTTTTAATTAAATTGTTTTGTTCTAAACAACAGGCCAGTCAACAAGATGGCCACGTCTTCCTCTACATTTGAAGAGGAAATATGTTACTTTGATGTGAGTGATTTTATTGTCTGGATTGGGAAAAGATAAGAAGCTTTGCAGGATGTGTAGGCTGATTGATACTTTGAAACGTGTGCCACATTCATTTAATTGGACACCATAAGTAATAAAGTGACATTCCAAGGGTTTAAAGCTACAGTGGCAGGCAATAATTAACTTCACTGTAAGCAAACACAATAGAGATCATTTATCCGTGCAATATGCGGTCAAAATACATGCATGCTCCTGTTCATTTCTTTGGACGGTTGGACAAGGCAATAAAGAACCAAACTATGTTATTTTTCAGTGACATATGCAAATGAAATAAAGACACAAATAAGCTTAAATCACCCCAGTTTCTTTGAAGTAGTTCATTTTTTCCGTCTACTTGGACCCAATATGGGTTAAAGCTTTAGACAACGAAAGAATTGTTTCACAAATGCCATTATCGTTACCCGCGGGACTCTTCAGGTGTCGTGCAAGGATTCATTACAGTAAATCATCGTCACCGAAATATTTGAAATTAGTTAACAAAAGCTGTGACCAGGAACACATATGGATGGATACAAGTATTACGGCATATACACGGGGAAAAGGGGTGTCAAGGAGGTATAGGTTGGGGGGGGGGGGGTAGAGAGAGAGAGAGAGAGAGAGGTGGAAAGAGAGAGAGCAAGCTCCGTTAAGAAAGTAAGATCCTAGCGTCGTTTCTCCACCCCACCACAACCCCCTTCTTATCATCATGGAGCAGCGTTCATGGTTATTTCCTTGGTATCGATAGGCCTACGCTAGTTATTGCCTTCAAGGAAATAGTTTATAAGAGATTTTATAGATGAAAAAGAAGACGAAGAAGAATTTAAAACAGATGTATGAAACAAAGAGAAATGATTAGATAACGCAAAACATATAACTTCTTCAAAACTATTGGTTCTAGTTTGGAACTGGATGGAAATATGATGGATCTGCCAATAGTTAAAATTGTAGTAAAATAACTGTTGTTGTTGTTCGTTCCATAAATCACAACCTCTCCTTTAATGTAGATAGACTAAAGAGCATTGTAGTGCTGGTATGGTTTACACGTGCGATCCATTAATAGTGCTACATGTACTTCACATGTGGTCGCCATGCTTTCTATTGCCTTCTTCAAAGCCAGTTCTTGTTCTCTACGTCCATATGCCTCAAGAGATTATGTATAGTTTTAGGGACCATTCCCACAGATTTTTGGATCGATCTATCTCGCTGGGGAGTCTCACTAAATTGCTGTCAACCTGACCGGCTTAAATGTCTATCACACCTAGTAAAGCTGTTAGGGGGTAATTATCTTTACCTCCTAGATGATTCGGTAGGCATGACAGACATAAGCCGGTTATTTGAAAGCAATTTAGTGAGACTCCGCAGGGAGTTAGGTCGATCCAGATGGATCGATCTAAACATGGGAACTCGTCTGAGAAAACCCTAAATACTGCCAAATAGAAAGGAATTCGACGCAGAGAGGATGCACCTTACAAGCCTCACGTAATGCACCAGTCAATCTCTCCGTCTTGACATATACCTGTTGTTTACGGGTGTGACATTAATGTTTATGGGCAGGTGAGAGTGAGAGGGGGCGTCATGCCCACGGTTGGCTAAGTATCAATGGGCCATTCAAATGCCCAGTCGTCTCCAGTCGGCACCGGGACATCAACCAAACCATTTACTTGTTTTGTTGTCTGCTGGGTTGTTTTCGCCAAACAACAGCATATTGTTACATTTTATCTTATAACGCGAGGTTTTGTTTTTCTCCCCATATTTATCCCTGTCGTTACGGTGCTTGTCGCGTGTTCTGAAAATGGATTGTCCACAATTTCCTTTACTGCTGTCGCCATTATTACACAATTACAG